TGTGTGTGTGTGTGTGTGTTTCTCTGTGTGTGTGTGTGTGTGTGTGTGTTTCTCTGTGTGTGTGTGTGTGTGTGTGTTTCTTTGTGTGTGTGTGTGTGTTTCTCTGTGTGTGTGTGTGTGTTTCTCTGTGTGTGTGTGTGTGTGTGTGTGTGTGTGTTTCTTTGTGTGTGTGTGTGTGTTTCTCTGTGTGTGTGTGTTTCTCTGTGTGTGTGTGTGTGTGTGTGTGTGTTTCTGTGACCTCATCAAAGTCGCTGATGATGTGGTTGAGGAGGCGGAGACACTCGACGCGCTGATGAACGAGCTCCTTCTGCTCGAAGAAGTCGGAGAAACCGGGAAGCGAGGCGAAGAGGACGCCGACTCGATCGTACGACTGAGAGTACAACTCCTGAAAAGAAAAGAGGACTTCACAAAGTTCACCGACTGACGAGGTGAGCGAGGAGCGAAAGGCTGAGAGGAGGTCAGAACGCTCCAGAACACGTGTAGGAAGAAGATCAACTTTATCAACCAGTTAGACCGAAAAGGTGAAGAACACTACGGAGGCTTTGACACAAAACAAATACAACAAGGGATTTAAAAATAAACTAAAAGAATCTTACCATCTGTTTCAAAATGTATATACTAAACAATGTCAAATATTAGAAGAGCATAAAACTATAAAAACATTTTAAGAACTCATTGACTGAAAACTTTCACCGACATATATCTTACACAAGGACATTAAATCCACATTTTTTGATTTGCATGTAATAAAGTCCTTCATATTAATAGTTCTTCCATTGGGAGGGTGATTCCAATATTTGAGGTTTTTGGTATATTGGCAGTTAATGCAGGTACCACACTGAAAATGACTTTGGAGGGGACTTGAAGTTTATCATTACGGGCTTCAGAGGGTTCAAATGCCCGGACTATTTTGTCCCTTATATTTGAGCCTCTTCTAAAGGTCACCATAGTTAAAAACACTTTGTACCTGTGGATCATTCTGAAGAACGTGCCGCTGTTTTAAAATGATATCTTTGATGTTTGTGGTTTTAGGGTGTGGCTTAGTGGACATATATGCCTCTGTGCTCTCTGCACACACACACACACACACACACACACACACACACACACACACACACACACACACACACACACACACACACACACACACACACACACACACACACACACACACACACACACACACACACACACACACACACACACACACACACACACACACACACACACACACACACACACACACACACACACACCTCGTCGTTGCGGTCTCTCTCCAGGAAGTGTTGTGCGACGTGAGCGGGCAGGATGTTGAGCAGCAGACACTCGTTGTGTTCCCTCAGCTCCTTCATGTCCTCGACCTCCCTCCTCGCCTGCAGGCGCCACAGGAAGTCCAGACGAGCCGTCGCCTCGAGCTACCAACGAAGAAGAACACGATGATAGAAACGACCTCTGACTTCCCGTCTGAGCTTTGAGGACGAGCGGATGACCTCACCTGTCTGCTGTTGTAGAGGACGACCACCAAGAACATGACCATGAGAACCGCGCAGACGCCGTTCCTGCACAGGTGATGAGACCTGCGGGACGCCATGACGTTTGTTAGCTGTCGTTAGCTGAACCTGCAGAGACGATGTGTGTGTGCTCACCTGTGTGTCTCTATCAGGTAGGTGTAGAGGGCGGCGGCCAGCAGGAGGACGGCCAGCTTCAACACACAACTCAGCCTGAGGAACACCGCGCAGGTAACCATGGCAACCACCCCGCTCAGCACCATGTACTGTCCACAGAGACGGGATGTAAATAACATTGATTGATTGATTGATTTAGTGATTGATTTATTGATTTATTGATTTAGTGATTGATTTATTGATTTATTTATTGAGTCATTTATTTATTTATTTATTTATTTATTGATTGATTGATTTATTGATTTATTGAGTCATTTATTTATTTATTTATTTATTGATTTATTGATTGATTTATTGATTTATTGATTTAGTGATTGATTTAGTGATTGATTTATTGAGTCATTTATTTATTTATTTATTGATTGATTGATTTATTGATTTATTGAGTCATTTATTTATTTATTTATTCATTTATTGATTGATTTATTGATTTATTTATTGATTGATTGATTGATTGATTTTATTGATTGATTATTGATTGATTTATTGATTTATTGATTTATTGATTGATTTATTGATTTATTGATTCATTTATTTATTTATTTATTTATTTATTGATTGATTTATTTATTGATTGATTTATTTATTGATTCATTTATTTATTGATTCATTTATTGATTTATTGATTTATTGATTTATTTATTGAGTCATCTATTTATTTATTTATTTATTTATTTATTGATTTATTGATTCATATATTTATTGATTTATTTATTTATTTATTTATTTATTTATTGATTTATTTATTGAGTCATCTATTTATTTATTTATTTATTTATTTATTTATTTATTTATTTATTGATTCATATATTTAT